CAAAATGTGTAAGGGTCACAACCCTTTGTTAAACACAGATCTTATTTTTTGCGATTTTCCAAAAGTCTATGGGGAAAATGCATTGCTTTTCGACCGAGGGAACCCATGCGCCGCTAGCTTCCGGTTTGTCCTACAAAGTGACGTCATCACTTCGGCGCTGACTCACACAATGATTGATTGATTGACGTTGTGTTTTGTTGCATAATTTCAGTGAATATAGCCTGATAAGTCTCTCTCTCTCTCTCTCTCTCTCTCTCTCTCTCTCTCTCTCTCTCTCTCTCTCTCTCTAAATTTCCAGAATTTAAGGTGGTTCTTAAAGATTGGGAATCAGTTGATGATACAAACTTAACAAACTTATTGAAAGGTTATGGGGATTTGGCTTTTTTTGGTATTGAGAAAAAAATGTTATATCATATATGTGTGAAGTCTGTACATCTTGGGCAATTGAAACAAAGACTGGACACTAAATGGAGGACTGTGCTTTCTATTCCTGATGAGGTATATCCATCTTGGAGATTATTGTACAAACCTCCTATCTCCAAGAGATGTGGAGACCTTCAGTGGAGGGTATTGCATTGTATTATTGCCTCAAATTCTTTTGTCTCAAAGCTTAATGAGACTGTTTTACCGATATGTCCTTTTTGCAATGCAATTGACACTGTTTTTCATATGTTTTGTGAGTGTCTTAGACTTTGTTCATTGTTTGAACTGTTGGGTGAAATCATTGCAAAATTGGGTTTTTCGTTTACCAATAGTCTATTTATATTGGGTTGCCGATACAGGAAGTCTTGGCAACAACAGTGTACACTTGCCAATTTTTTAATAGGACAAGCTAAACTAGCAATTTTTAAGACGCATCAGTGCAAAAATGCTGGAGAGGATGTAAGCATGGTGTCTCTTTTTAAGTCTTTGGTGAAGTCAAGAGTGATCATTGAATATACCTATTATCGTAACACCAATAATATCTCTTATTTTGAATGGAGATGGGGTGTTGGAGCAGTTCTGGTGACTATAAGTGAATCAGGGAATTTGGTTTTTAATTGGTGATTTTTGTTTTGTTTTTTATTTATTGGATAATTTTTGTTTTGTCTAGTTTATTTTTGTAAATTAAAGAGTGTCTAAAAGTAAAGTCTCTCTCTCTCTCTCTCTCTCTCTCTCTCTCTCTCTCTCTCTCTCTCTCTCTTTTCTGTGCTGTGACTCACCGGTCTTTGCACAGGTTCGGACCGTATGGACGGATGGAAGCTTGAGCGGATCCTGCTGGTATTTTCTCACGTACGGCTCCAGCACAGCTTGGACTCGCTTCATTCTCACAGTGATTAATATTAAAATATAAAAGTGTAATTAAAAATCAGTGAGTGTCCAGATCGCAGTAGCCAAAGCGTCTGTTGATGACCTTACGAATATGATCCTGTCATTTAGGAATCAACATACATGGTTCAGACTTTTATGTTCATATTTGTAGTATTTTGTTATAGAATGATATAATGAATGATATATGAGAAATGAATAATGTATGAGATATTATATTATGAGAAATGATTATGATGTAGCCTATGTGATGTGATGGTCATGGGTTTGATTCCCAGGGAATGCATGAACTGATCAGGGTCTGCTAAATTTAAAAGCGTTGGTTTTGTGTGTCTAATTGTGAAGTGTAAATAATAATAACTTAAATTAAGCCATAAAGACACAATATAGTCCACATGATTCATACACTAAATATTCCAAGTCTTCTGAGTCATGTGTTTTGTGTGAGTAACAGACTGAAATTTTGAGTAAAAATTTGCATCTAAGCAACATAATCAGAATATACACATCTTCACTGAGGGTTTATGAATGGATTTGTTGGACTAGTTTTAAATTCATCACTTTATGGCAAATGACTGACGACCTCTCAGAATCAACTGATCTAAATCCTCTTGAATCTCAGAGTTTCTCTGGTTTTTCGTCATCTCCTGCTTCACGCTCGGCACATTTCCAGGTTGCTTTTCACCAGAGATTTTCAAGAGGAGATTATTGTGCTCACAAATTGAATTACCCAGCAGTGCTCCTGTGAACCAGCGGCCCATCCGCGCTACGTGTGCTGTTATATAGATCAAATCAGAAACATCCAAGCAACAGGTCGTCCTGGTTCTGACAAATGCAATAACCCGCAGAGAGAGACTCGTGTCTGCTTGAGAGGGATCAAAGTGACCTGAGACGCACCGGTGACTTCGGGTCGGAGGGATTTTCAGGCTGTCTTTGTTGATTTTGTCACATTTATGCATTTGCTAGATGATTTTCTCCATTGCATTCAAGCTCTGTGCATGTATTGCCAGGGAAGTGAACCCATGTTGACCTTGGCACTTCAGGGACACACTGATGTCAAACACACACTGATTCTCTGAGCTTTAGGATCATTGATGAGTGAAAACATAGATTTTTGTCTGAGAAAATTGCCTGTGCAAAACTCACCAGCACAACACTAGACCCTAACCTGAACCCAGGATAGATGATATTTCAGGTAGAAATTAGAGGATGTTTTGATATATGAGAAATTATATATTATGTATGAGATATTCAGTGTTTCCACAACCATTGTTTTAGGGGGTTCTCTCCAGGTTCTAGATCCACTCTGAAAGTCACTTTGTGATCATTTAACCGCTTCATTTGAGAAACTATCATCATGACACATAGACTGTAAAAAAAGATGGACGACGCCCCTTCGCTCTTTTCCATCAGAGAGAACTGAAGCCGCCAATGTCCCGATATGACATCTTGGAACTTGAGTCTGCGCACTTGCATTTTCGGGACCAGACATGCGCAGTCGTGAGCAGGAAATAAAGCCGCGAGATCAAGGCCGCGCCCTCAAACTCGCTGAATCAAACGCCAGCACACGCCGCCCCGCACTTTCATTGTCTGCTTCGTTCCTCTCCAATGATGTCTGCTGATTGCAGAACCTCGTTAAAATAAGGTAAATACAACTTCTAACCACAAAATCAACATTATTAAAAAAAAGTCCGCTGATGCTTCAGTGACTACTTCGCACAGAGAACCTGTCAATCACAGCTGTCATGGTGTCATAACATCATCACATAACTAAGTAAAAACAAACTTATTTTAACAACAAACTCTTGAAATTACATCAACGTGATAGAAACTACAAAAAATGACAGAAACTATCTTTGGATAAAGAATATGTGAATTCTGAAGTGTAATTGAATTGTTTAGTCTCACGTGCCGTTGAATAACATGGGGAGGCGGGGTTTATGACCTATACTAGGACCGGCCACTGGGCGGCGATCGAGACGTGTATATGTCTATGGAGACGTTTGTGCGGCACGCTTGTCATGACATAAACACACGTAAACTCGAAAGGTCTTCGCGGCAACCCGTCAAAATAAAAGTTCGGTTTAACTTGACAGAAATATATTACTGTTGTACAGTAGAATTTAGATATGTCCTAATGTAATAATACACTAACACTAATCCAAATAAATTATGATTTTTTTTAAACAAAACTGAATTTAAGGAATAATCAATGTTTTAATTTTAACAGTAAAGCTCATTGTGCAGCATGTTATTTTACAAAAAGTTTATGATAAATGGTAAAATTTGTGTTTTATGGCTTCATTTTATTACCAGCAAAAACACAACGCAGAATTAGCATGGAATTTTTTTCATATATATATATATATATATATATATATATATATATATATATATGTGTATATGAAGAAAAAAAAATATACGAAGAGTTCAGATGCAAAAGCCTCTAAATGCCATTTGAAATGTTCTTCTTTAATGATGATTTTTATCAAACTTGTATATTTAAGTTCAGTAATTTCACTTAAATAACAATAAATAGGTAATTATCATTGCCATTTGAATGAAATCACTGAACTTAAATATACAAGCTTGATAAAAATGATCATTCTAGAAGAAAATTTGAAATGGCACTTAGAGGCTTTTGCATCTGAACTCTTCATACATGATTTTAATTAATTAGACATGCTTTTTCACCTGAAAAATAAAAATCCTAGGGGAAACACTGAGATATGATTTGAGAAAGGTGATGCGTATGACGAATGACAAATTACATATGCTGTATGATATATGAGGTATGATGTGTGAGACATGTATTGCATGCTATTATATGAAAACGTACATATTAGATGTGTGAGATATGATGTATGAGAAATTATATTTGACATTAGATATGACAGGATGTCACGTTCGATATTTGAATGATATGTGTGATATATGAGAAATTGTGAGAAATTATATATGATGTACATAATTGTATGCATACTTCATTTAAGAGGTATAAAATATTTGTTATGTTGTATAATGTCTGATTTGTGGCATGATGCATAATATATAATATGTGATATGTTATATATGAGATGTATGAGATATTATGCATGAGAAGACATATGATTAATACAATGAGAAACATTATGTATGAGAAATATTAAATTAGATATAAAAATAAATGTTTTATGATATGAATATGAGCAATAGTTACAGTGATGCTCACGTTAATTTAATTTATATTAATTTATATAATCTGAATATTTAAATTTTCTAAAAATGCACGTGTTTTGGAGCAGAAGTGTTTCATCAGATCAGTGTGTTGGACTGAGGCAGAGTGTGTTTTACGAACAGCTCATCAAGCGTGACTCAGTGATTTAAACATCCATAATGCACCGACTTGACCTTTACTAAGCACTGTGTTTCAACCTCGTCTGTAAATGCATATATAGATTTGATACACTCAAGGGAAGGATAAAGAGAAGGACGCTGTTGCTCAGGCAACGGATCCTTTTGTACCCTTTTAGACAGGAGAATAAAACGCACCGTGTTTTTCCCACTGAGTAATTCTTGTCACAGAACGAGCGTATATCTCTCCCCTCCCGTCTGAGGAAAGAGGAGGTGATTGTGAATGAGCATCGTCGCTCTCGGATGCCCGTTACCGTAGCAACACAGGGAGCGCTGAGGTATAAAAACACACGCTTTCTCAGACGGGACTCAGAAACTCTGAGCTGCACGCACACACACACACACACACACACACACACCATGCTGAGGCCTAAGGATCTGTGTCAGGGATCCGGCATCAAAACCTTCCTGGAAGCCATGCAGAGCGGGAAAGTCCACCTGGCCCGCTTCGTCCTGGACGCTCTGGACGGGAGGATCATCGACGGGAAAGCCGAAAACGGGCGAACGCTTCTGATGTCCGCCGTGAGCCTTCAAGACCACGGCTGCCGAGCGAAGTTCGCCAAACTTCTTCTGGAAAAAGGTGCGGATGTGAACGCGCGCGACGATCGCGGGCGGACGGCTTTGAGCCTCGCGTGCGAACACGGCTTCCTGGATTCGGTGAAGCTCCTGGTTCAGTTCAACGCCGACCCGGAGCTCACGGACACCTGGGGGAACAGTGCGCTGATGTACGCCGCGTGCGGAGGACACAACCACGTTCTGGAGTTCCTGGTGCGGGCCTTCAAGAAGCTCGGGTTGCGACTGGACCTCACCAACCACGCCGGACACTCGGCCGTGCAAGTCGCCGATTTCTTCGGGCACAACCAGTGCGTTCAAGCGCTCAGTGTATGCGGGAAGAAGACGGTGAGTCCCACCAACAGCACTGGAGAACCCGCGGACGATCTCCGGTGGCCCAATCGGCTCCCGAAACACGTCCTGGAGCGGTTTTCCAAACAAATCCAGAGCCGACAAGAGGAGCTCCTTCCGGCTTTGTTTCAGAGACAAATGCGTCTCAGCGACAACCTACGAATCCACTTCAGGCGTCCGCCGGCGTCCGACACCAATCACGATCTGATGTTCGCTTCCAAACAGATTCAAAACTCGGCGCTGAAGGAGGTCGGCGGATCGTCGGACATTGACGCGCCGCTCTGGGGGAAAGCCCGATCGTTTAATCCGGACCACCGGAAACAATCCTACCAAGGAGACGTCCGCGAGATCAACAGGTTTAAAAGAGCTTCGCTTCAGGACGAAAAACCTCTCGTGGCGAAGTTCTACGGCGCCACCGTCAACCTGGACGAGTCCCAGAGCTGGAGAGATCCCAGATCCTCCAGACAGAGCAGACTTCTGCCGGGTCGGGAAGAGCTGGAGCCGGAGCGGATCAAACCTCGCTCGTCGGGGCTCTCGGGACTGGGGACGCGGCTCCTGCGCAGGTTCACGGCTCCCGAGTTCCTGAGGCACAGAGACTGTCCGAGCGGGAAAGGGAAGATCTCTCGCTCCGAAACCTTCCCGTTCACACACACGCACGTGAGAGTGAACAGCCAGCCCAGCGTGGACGGCATCAGCGCGGTGAGGTGCGAGTTCGAGAGTAGTTCAGCTCTTAAATGAGGACGACTGCAGCACTGAAAGACCTGGGAAATGAAATCAAACTCTCACTGAGACCACTGGTCTTATTAACATTCTTAAATCATGTTTACTCTTTGAAATCAGTTTATTTTTCAGATCCCCTCACTTTAATATTAACTGACACAGTATTTTTGTTAATCCTTGTTAATGTTAGTTATTAAAAATCCAGCTGTTTGTTTGTGTTAGTTCATGCTTTTGATAACGTATTAGTATGTTGAAATATAAAGTCAGATTAATAGAAGTAGAAATGAAGAGTTCAGATGCAAAAGCCTCTACATTTTCTTCTAAAATGATCATTTTTATCAAGCTTATATATTCAAGTTCAGTAATTTCACTTAAATGACAATTAATAGCTAATCCTCATTGCGATTTAAGTGAAATTACTGAACTTAAATATACAAGCTTGATAAAAATTATCATTTTAGAAGAAAATTTCAAATGGCATTTAGAGGCTTTTGCATCTGAACTCTTCATATATTGTCTAAGTTAACTAATAAGCCTTATTAAGTATTGCCTATTTTTTCTTCATATCTAAGATGTAAATCTACCTTGATTTAGGAATGTTTTGGAAAACGAGTCATAAACACCAAGTTTATTTGCAGTTATAGTCTCTCGAGGTCTCCGACTGCTTCTCATGAACATCCTTCAGATAATAATGATGTAATTATTACTGACACTGTTTTGCACGGCTAAGGTGTGTCTGCATTGAGCTGTTATAATAATGCATGCATGTTATATTTCGGTTGCGCTTTATTTTACAGTATGTGCACCAACCAATAAAGACCTGAGTAATATAAGGCAACAACATTCAGGACTCATCAAGAAAAACAAGGCTGTAAAATAAAGTGCTGCCTATATTTTTATAAGCATATTTTGTCTCGAAAGCGAAATGAATCAATTATTTGTGATTAAAATACAGTTGCATATCTTTGCATATGTCAATAATTTATATTCTATACTCTTTGGTAGACAACTGTATAAACTCAAAGCATCTGTCTGTGTGAAAGACTGTATTTTTTCTTTTGATAGACACATATATGAATAAAGCACTTGTGTTTAAGCTTAAAGCAAAATAAAACTTGATACTGGCGTGTTTTTTTATATATATATATATGCATGATTTATTCTTTAAAAAAAATTAAATGTATATTTCTCTTTTCATCAACAACCAACACACACAAAAGCACACAGCAAATGTTGTGGAAAGAAGGTTGATTATGAGTCACGTGTCCTCGGCTGCTGGCATATACACTAACAAGTGCACACTAACAAGGGGCCGTTCACACCAGATGCCTCGTGCAATCAAGCACAGACGGAGCGGCACAAAACACACACTTTTGTGTGAGGAACAGCTTCTATTCTTCACTTTTCTCCACTGCAGCTCTCAAATCTCATTTCTGTATAGTCAAAACTGGTATTGGGTCTGTTCAGCATTTTATAACTTAAGAAGATTTAATTCTACTGCTCACTCTTAGAAAAAATGGTTCAATGTTGTTCCATGTGAACCTCAATTTTAAACAAATCTTTGTGCGAAAGGGCATGTCCGCGTAATTCTTACACTAATGCGTTATTTCAATTTATTCCAGTGATAAAGTATGTTTACGAGCAGTTTAAATAAAATGACAAAAATATTGAAACTAAATCCATAAATGTGTCCCATGTTCTATGGAATGCTTGATGGAACCCTTAAGGTTCCATTTAGAACCTTTTCTTCTAAAAGTGTTGTGTGTGTGTGTGTCGTCTCTATAAACTTTTGCTAAGGAAAAAGCTGTATTAAGACTCTTCAAATATAGCTAAAAAATGTTACACTGAAAAAAAATACCGTATGCAGGTTTAGATCAATGAGCGTGAATTAATGATATATGATAAACATTTGATCCTTGTGTAGCTATGCTACATAAATATTGAAGGTACCCTGCAACTTTTTTTTTGTTAAAAATCAACCAAATTTAAAGAATGAGTCTCCAAATGGTATCGCTGCACAGCGCCTCTTCAAGTCAAACACACCTAAAAGTTGCTCCGCCTATATTGTGTGTTGTGTCAGTGGTTAGTTGGTTAGTTAACACAACGAGCGAGAAAGGTTGACATCACAAACTTCGAGAGAACCACCTGTTTAAACGAGCGCTGAACGGAGGAGAGTCTGCTGGAGAAAAGAGAGCGAGACGGAGCTCGTAATTATTTTTATTTTCAAATCGAATCAAATATTTTAAAAATATTTTATTTTATTTTATTTTATTTAGATGGGAAAATGCATATTAATGAACGTACAAGCATAATCGAACGTAAATACGTCGGATTTAGCACAATGCTAATTTCCATCCATTGTCCAACATTAAACAATAATCCAATTAAACAATCCAATTAAACAAGAATCAACATTAGATGGGCTTTCAGAGATGGAGAACTAAGGGAGTTGAAATGTTGAGATGATGGTGTCACTGACTTTCATGAGGCCATTATAACATTTTAATGAAAACTTCAAGTTGTACCACTGTAGTTGAGGTCATGAAAAATATTCATCACATGACAGCCAGTGTCAAAACCAGCCACATGGCAATTTAATGTAGCCTAATGCTAACCCATAAAGATAAGTGCTTTCTTATGTTTGATAATTAATCATGTTATGACAATTTATGCTGTCTTGGTAGTGTCAGGTTGTCATGACAAAGACACTGACAGGTTATGATGTATTGGTTTATGTCAAGGTGTCATAACAAAGACATCTCAATGTCATATTTGCATTAAAAATGAGCGAATGACACTTAATGACAGTTGTCATAAACATGCATAAAACATAAATAAATCATGTCATGATTATGAATGTGTCATGTCAGTCTCACGCCGGTTTCACGTGATAGCAGAGAGTAAGCAGCAAGTATTTTCACGCTCGCGCATTGCATTATGGGATTGACAGCGGACCGGAGAACGCGTTGAGAGCGACCGAGAGCGTCAAAAAGGTTGGCTAATTCTTGACTTTATGCAAATATCAAGCAAAAAACGCGGTCGGCATCCAATTGATGTGCGGTTCGTAATGTGACGTCTGTTTTGAGATTTTGAAAATATGCAGATTGTACCGGAGTTTATGCCGGATTTAGTGCGTAAATAATTTTGTTTACAAATTTGACGCTTTGCAGTTGTTATATGTTAAATAATTCATTTTGGATGTGTTCATTGTGATTATACTGGCTGGGTTTTTAAAAGTTCATAAAATTGACGGGATATCTTTGCTTGGGGCATTTATGTAAACAAAGCTTGTCTATTTCCGAATGTAATCGCGTGCATCTATGATGATTATACTGTGTGTTGAAGAAAAAAAAACAGATTAAACACACTCGCAACAGACACACCCCAAAACAGAGACGTTATAGCGTTGCCAGCGGCACTGAGCGGAGTTTTGCCGCTGTAGTCCACTAGCGCGGTGCGAGCGGAGCGGAGCGAGCGTTTTCAATTCATTCCAATGGAAGTCGAGCTTCACGCTCGCGTAGTGCATTTTGGGATTGACAGCGGACCGGTGAAAGCGTTGAGAGCGTCAAGAGGTTGGGCAGTGCGTGGTATAACCCCTTCAAGTACAAATAAAGCTTTAACCAATATTCTTCCGCTAAATGCAGTTTTGATTTTAACCGCTAGAGGGCCAAAAGTTAAGTGTATCTTTAAAAAATAGTGCAGACAAAATGCGTCCCGTGTGAACGGCCCAAACACAAATCAGCATCTCTCTCTTGTCCTCTTTTAATCTGTCAGTATGATAATTTAGGAAACATCACAGTACAACAGGTAGGATGCAAAAATATCACGATGAACGCAGCATCCAAAATGTAAACACGCACACCAACAAACACACCTTTCCTTTCCTCTCACATAATTAAATAATGCGAATGAATGCAAACACAGGTTGTTTCCCACTCTGATTATGTACATTATTTGTTCTTCTGACGCCTTTACAGTAAAATCAGCCGTTTAAGAAATCAGGAAAGCTCAGATGCAATATTTACAAACCATTCACAGCACCCTTTCCAAAAGCAGGCGCTCAATCCATTGAGAAAAACAAAACAATAAATAGGTCATTAAAATATTTACAATTGGATACAATGGCTCATAAAAATGTTTTGCACCTGTCAGTGCCGACAATAAATTACATCATTTCACCGCCTTTTCTAAAAAAAAAATGTCTTCGTCCCTCAGATTAAGATTGAAGCGTGTGCCACTGTTCAGCCATGCAAGCCAGTCTGACACGAGCTTTAAAACGCAGGTGAAATATGGAAAGCTTTCTGTGCTGATCGTGGGTCAAATATTGCTGTTTAAAAATGTTAAAATGTGTGCAACATGATATGTAATTTTATATCCTGATATATTCCCTCTGCTGGAAAATCAACCCAAAAAACGTTTAGGTTTCAACTCAAGCCTGATTGGACGAGCCACATTTCAAGCTGTTGAAATTTAGCCAATATACATACAACTTGTGATGCACATCAATTGAATTCTGTATAATTCCAGATTGTAGACAATAAAATAATGCTTTACAATATGATTCAGTTTGTATAGTAACATTAAATAACACTGAGCAACACAGTTAGTTCATAAAAACACAACTGTTCATTCGTGTCAGTCCATTATATCAACAGATACAACTTTTGATTTTAATAACGCATTAGTATATGTTGAAATTAACATGCTTTAGAAGTCGTAACCCAGACAGCAACATAGCTTCGGCCCAGATCCACGCACTGTAAAAAAATATTGATGGTTTAACTTAAAGTAAGTAACCTGGTTGCCTCAAAATTTTAAGTTCATTGAACTGTGAGTTAGGAGAATGATTTAATCATCAGAAACTCAAAATTATATGTTATCCGAACTAAATAAATGATTTAAGTTGATTTGACTAAAGAAAAAATGTTGTGATTACTACACTGTAAAAAATATTGTTGGTTTAACTTAAAAAAGTAAGTAACCTGGGTTGCCTTAAAATTTTAAGTTGATTGAACTTGAAAAGGTGAGTTAATACAATGAAGGAGATTAATTTAATCACCAGAAACTCAAAATAATAAGTTATCTCAACAAAATAAATTATTATAAAGTTGATTTGACAAAAGAAAATATGTTGTGATTAAAAATCTTGAAAATATTTTTTTACAGTGTGGTCATGTGGATTCGCACCAGATGTGAACCGGAACCGCTATGTTGCCGTCTGGGTCGTTAATTGATGTTAACAAACGGAACCTTATAGTAAAGTGTTACTCATAATTAATAAAGTTGCTGCTGTAAAAAAAACAAAATCATAATATCGACACATTACA